CTAATCATTTCTTCTCTATTTTATCACCCATTTGCTTTTCTTCCGGAAAGACTATATAACTCTTCAAAAAAAATGTGGATTTGCGAATATTACTTGGGTATTTTTGGAAAGAAACCAAAAAATATCAAATAATAAAGAATCTAAAGTACTTTCTCAAAGTTTAGAATCCTTAGAGGTTTGCTGATAAATCCATTATAGAGAAAAAATTTTTCCAGATGAACTGGGTTAGTTATGATCTTAATGAGATCCTAGCGCAGTATCATCCCATGAGAGTGAAAATATATAATTTGGACAGCCGCTGAAAATTAATATAAGAAGAAATTGAAATATTTCAAACTTAAGGCTAATCAGTTGAATACCAAGAAAGAAGGAGGACAAACCAAATGAAATTACTAAATCGGCAACTAATAAATAAAAATTTATGGTATAAGAGTGTCCTATAATCTTATTCTCCCTAAACAAGTAAGTAAGTGGCTGTCGCTCAACGCTACTGATAATTTGAATCCCGTAAAAGGCACAACTCGAATCTTTGACTCTTAGATGATAAACTAATCAATAATCACTCGCTAAGTTTGTCCTATTGCCTAATATTTCCTTTTAATTTACTTTTTTAGAAATTTTTTTATTTTATATTTTTTAATTTTAATTTATTTTTTTTTTTATTTTTTACTTTTATTTGTCACGCACTCTCACTAAATCGTTAATTAATTTAATTCAGATAGTTCATAAGCTAATTTGCTTAAAAATATATAATTATAGGGGAATAGTACAACTTATTTTTTTGATAATTAGAAGCTATGGAGATATAAATCATTATAAGGAGCGTTGGCCTGTATACATACGGTTTTGGCTGGTCGTAAGCGTTTCGGCTTTAATTTTCGTCTTCCGATGAGAGTAAAACTGTTTTTAAAAGCGAAATTCGAGTGATCGCTGGATTTCCTCGTTCTCAATTAGCTCTTTGTTGAAATATCGGCTAATACAGCATGACAGCAAATGGATGAAAGCAAATCAGAAATGATAAGAAATTAGAAAGCGAACCGATCTAGGAGATCATTTCAAGGAATGCGTAATATTTTTATTATCATCATGGAAGTAGGTAAATTTATGAGTAATAGCTGAGTAAATCGATTTCAAGCCACCATCGTCGAATCGCATATATAAATTTAATAATGTTGATGGATAGGAAGTTTTTGCTATATATCGATATCATGAATTCGATAAAAATTCGCTAAATAATTTCGTATTCCATAAATTCGCATGCTTGATACGAACCTCAATTTGATTTCTCCTAACATATAAAAGTGCTATTTTGCATGTTCGGATTTGAAATAACAGCATTCAACTTTTCTAATATAAAAGCATTAGCTGCGTGTTTAATGTTTAACTTGGATTCGAAATATCGGCATTTGATTTTTCTTATACGATTTAATGCAATTAGATCATTAATTATTCAATGCCAGCTCTTAGCGAAGTTTTCCTCTTCTGATTGCACTTATCACTTCCGGTTCCTTACTGATTAGCTGATCAGAGGAGCCTTTCGTCAAAGAGGTGTAGTCATGGAGGTGCAAATTGGTAAACAAGATTCCACTTTCAATGATGAATGCTGAATAAACAAGGGCATAAATCGAATCTATGATGATTTGGCCACAGCTGATGCAATGCACCGCTCGATTTTCCGGTATCCTCTTAATTCTGTCCATATAGATAGCCTTATGTTTTAATAAATTCTGCTAAAAGTCTATAAATTCAAAAAACTGATGAAATAATCTTGCTTCTAGAAAAAAATTTGTTAACGATATGTCCAACCAATAATTTAGCCTTTAATGACTCTGATGTTTTAAAATAAGCCAAAAAAGCCAGTCTAAGCCAATTAATCTTCCCGTTTATCGCTGGTCATTTTCAGGCTTTAATTATGCGATCTCATAAAAATTTTTCGTTTTTCATTCATCATCCATTTCATCCATTTCTTCCATTTTACCCTGCTATATTTCTCACTGTTCTAATTCGTGGATAAATATATCTTTGATTTTTAGTGACTTCCTCTCAAGCAGCAGAAGTCGAAGCGAAGAAGTCTGAGTACCATTCAGCAATACTGCCACTTCTTGCCTTACCAAATTTAGCTATTAAAAATTTAACAAATCGAAGTTTAAGATTAGAGATTAATGCACATTAGAATAAAGATTTATCGATGAGTAAAATGAACAGATGTTCCACTGTGTATTTAAATTAATTTCTTCCAATCAGATTGTCGAAAAGTTTTTCAACAAGTCAATCAATTTTCATGAATTATCAATCACAAACTCGTTGATAAAACTTATCATAGCATATCATCGAGGCTAGTAAATTCGAGAAATTGGTAATAAATAAAAATTTCAATCGCAAAATATTTATGCTTTTTTTGATTTGTTATAAATGTTTTAACATCATTCTTTACCGTGGCTTGGATTAATCAGTTTATCAGTAAATTAACCATCAATTTACCAACTTAAAGATTTACCCATAAAATTCTTTTTTTCATTTATTTTATTTTTTCAATTATTTTCCCCTTATCAGCTGATTTTACTTCGATATGATAACAAAAAGTTAAAACATTTTTTCTTATTTTCTTATGCTCAATTTTTTTTCTTTCGCATAAAAATTTCGATTGTAAAAATGAATCTTTTTTTTTTCACCGTCATTTCAATAATTATTATTGCAGTAAAACGAAAAAAAGTGAAAGGTGAAAGAGGTGAAAAAAGGAATGCAGAAAAACTTGAGCGCGAACTACCTCACTATCACAACTAGAATCATGTTGCTGTGAAGAAACGAATCGGACTAACGACATCCCATGCGAAATATTCAACTTAGGATTTCATCAATGGTCATCTATCTGACCTATCTGAATTATTGCTTCGCGAATTGCGTTGAAAATGAAATATGTTCAACAAATGATGCTCGAATTTGTAGAAATTCTAGGTTATTAGTCTTTTAATTTTTTCTTTTTTTCGTTAATATTTTTCCTATACACCATTAAAGATTGAATTTTACAAAACAGATTTTCAAATTGTTTTTTGCTTTCGCTGCCGAAGACCAACATAGGTTGAAGGACTATTTAGCTGACCTATTTACTTAGTAACAAGCCAATAATAGTATTTATTGAGTATTGAGTATATTAGTCCCGTAAGGAATGGGCAGATATTACCATCCAAAAAGAAGCAGTCTTTCGTCTTTTTCTGCAAATAAATATATCTCGCCATTTAAAAAATTGAATTAAATATTATCAAATTTATCAAAATTAATAAATTTATAAGTAAATATAATTAATTACAAAATTTTTTATTCCTTTTTGAAAAAAACAAATTAATAAATGAAAAATTTTCCAAAAGCCAAGGGTCAAGGGTCATTTAGAAGAAAAATAAAACTCTTCAAATTTTTTTTTTACTTCGATAATCCATTTTTCTATGTCAAAACTCATTATTATTACTAAATCATTGCTATTAACTGACATTGAAAAGAATTTTTTATTTTTCCGCTTGAATCACTTCTCTTCTCTTATTAAATTATATTCATTAACGACAAAAAATTACGCACCAACGCACCAAATATTCCATTAATAATTCGTTTGAAAGCTTTCTTTTCTTAATTAGCTAAATTGCTGCTAACTTATTATTATTATTATTATTATTATTAAATATTATTATTATTATTATTATTAAATATTTACATTAAAGGCCTAACATTTACCATTATTGAGGCCTAAAATATTTTAAACCACTTTAACTCTGAAATCTTGTTTCGCCTTCTACTAACCTCGCAATTCACCATTTTTCACCCGATAAACTACCTTTCAGCCAAATAAATTCAATCATTCATATTCATCTATTTAATTACCAATATTCTATGATTAGATAACTTCTTTCATTTCACTTCTTTATCTATATCAATTTTTAATGATTTTAAGAAATAAATAATTGAAAGGATGGTCGATGGTCATTTCGTTTAGGAATTCATTTATTTATAGAAATAATTTGAGAGCCTTCGCAAAGTGGGGCTTTCTTCGAGACTTATATTTCCAGTCTCGAAATTCATGAATCCGTTCGTTTTTCCACTATTCTCTCGCATTCTCTCCTAGAAATATATTATGAACTGTCTTCAATGTCCCAGTTTGAACTCATAAAGTGCCAGAAGTCTGAAATAGCATGCTGTTCCACATCGAATCTGATGGACTAAATCAATCGTAAAAAATTTAATGCATTAGTCTTAGATGAAAAGGAACTACTGAAGTGACGAACGTGGCCATCTAACTTGGCATGGAAATAAAAATAGGTCAATCCCAACGGAACTTTTGAAAAGATCCAATATTTTTATTATATTTGTATTTACTTTGCAAACCAAATATAGCAAAGACGAATAACACGAAGAGATAAACGAATAGCACCTTGCTGGAGTAAACTTCGAAAATATCCGAAAATCCGAGTGATGCTGGCGACTCACCTAATTCACCTTATTTCTATCGCCAAGAGATTTTCTGAAATAGTCGCCTAATTTGACGAATAAGAGAAGCGAGTCTAACCAGTAATGGTGAATGCTCTTTAAAAAAAAAAAAAAATTCATGGTGGCTAATTTTCCATTAATTTTCTCCCATTTAGCAAAAGGCTATTGAAATGGATGATATTTACTGATCTATTGAGCAAGAATCAATTACAAGCATACCTCTATATAATTTGCAACCTACCCAATTGTCATCCCCTAACTTTTTTTTCTGTGAGCACTACTTAATAAGGCAAGGGCGAGCTCTGCTATCTTGTCGGGCCAAACCAATTTTAGAGGGAGACACTTGACAACAATAGAAGTATAGGTGAGTCGCCAGCTTCATTCAGCTTTTTGGAAGACGAGCTTAGAACTCTAGTGCACTCCAAGGGCGACAACTCTTAACTTGACCTCTTAACTTGACCTTACCTGATCTGATTTGTGTTACGGCTTACTTCTAGAAATAGTGGATTACATATCGTAGTATAAGCATGAAAGCATATTTGCAGAAAATATCTAGTAAGGCAATTGAAAAAACTTTGTGAAGAGTTGAAGAGTTCATATTTAGTTGTGTATCAGTGTGTTCGTTACGTTCGATGAAACAATGTGAATGCGATACAGAAGAGGATAATTATTGCTATTTATGTTGTGGTAATAGCTATTCACGTTGCTTACCCGCTCATCATTATAATATTTTAAGGTTATTATACTTATCATCAAGTAAAACTAAGAAATTTTACTATCGAGTAACATAAATTCAATTTTTCGGCCATTTGTAAGTTATGACTTAAGGAATAAAATAAATTTCATTAAGAGATAATGGCGAACGCTGGGAAAGGGATGCATGCGCTCGATGTCGACAAAATGGCGTGGAACTTGAAGGTCTTGCATGCGACGATACCGATCCAGCACGACTATGTATTCAAGGCAAATGCTCAAATAGTGTTTGTCATGATAAACCACAGGGCGCATATTGTGACAGAAAGTAAATCTTTAGATCGCAACTCAATATGCTCAAAAAATTTAATTAATATCTTCAAAGATATATAGAAGATTACACCTTTCCTTGTTATTGAAAATCTATAGCCACACAGCGATTCAATTTGAAAACTCACTGAAAAAAAATTCAAACATAAATGCTATGAATGAAAAGCTTTTTATGCATTCTTAAGGAAATAAGAGAACATCTAAAAGATCTAATAAAAAAGGCCTATTTAGGCCCCAAAATGGTTTAAATTTGAAAGAAAATCCTATCCTATTATTGAAGTACTGAGAAGAATTTATACTGAGAATTATGCACAAATAATTCTTTCCTTTTTTATTTCTCATTTTTTTCGCATTTCATTCCTTTCAAACAATTTTACTATTTTAATTTTTTTTATCTATAGAATGGAAAAAATTTGCGTAAGCGATGTCTGTGAGAATCCATGCACTCGATTTGGTTCACATCTCATGGTTTGCGATTGTCCTTTAATCGATCCCGACACTGGCTTCGCATCAGATGATCGCTGTCAACTTTGCTGCTATGACTTCAATATCGTAGATTTAATTATTTCGCACTTTTTATTTGACTAATCTCATTAACCACATTAACCTAGTTTTTTACTCTTCTATGATAAAAACAATAGGTGATGGATTCGTTACATCTTTTGTCTGACTAATTTTAGCTTCAAAATATCAAAATTTAAAGAAATTAATAAAAAAAAAAAAATCCGAATTTCTAAAAGAATTTGCTTAACTAATAGAATTCAGAAGCCAAGTTCTCGACGTTGTCAAAATGCCTATAGAAAATACAATATAGCAACCGCTCAAAATCGGCCCATATGGAGGGTCGGCCTCGACTGTATTGGAGGCAAAAAGTGCAATCGCTTTGGGATATGTCGTGCTCTTTCAATAAAACCATCTCTTTGGCTTATTTTTACTGCTTTTTCGTTAGTATTATGTAAATACTTTAATTAAAAGGGTAATTTTTTTCAAGAAAAAGATAATGGAATGAATTTAAGAGTTTTGACAAAAATTCGCTAACTATGGCTAATTCGCTTTTAATAAATAAGTAACTGGCTAGCATTCATCATTAGCTTTCATTGGCTATTTGATATAGGATGAGAATTTTGCTGGCAAGTTATTTGGAAAGGAAAATCCTAACACGGCTAGGAATTTTTAATGATAAGCTTAGTCTTGTCAGGGTGAGGGATGCGACCATAATGTTCGAAATGATCATAAGGCAACATATATTCGGCCAAACTGCCCCCATATGTTCACTGCTAATAGGAAATATGGAGAATAACTAAATTATGAAAGAAAGCAGACAAGGCAATAATGAGTAATGAAACTAAAAGCTGTGAAATAACCGAAGATAATCAAAGTTATTTCGGCTTGAAAATATCGCCATATTTATTATATTCCATATTTGCTAAAAACTGTCCATATTGTTTTCCAATTTACTTATTATTTTTTATGTTTGTAAATTTGTTTAATTTGAAAATTTAAACTACATATCAGAATTTTTATAGGAAATACAATTACGATTTTCATGAATTATAGACAAAAAAATCTCAGATCAAAGAAGATAGTTATAGAAATTAAATTTGAAATGGCTGAATTTCTTTTTGTATATGAAAATAAAAAAATCGGTGAAAAAAAATGAAGGAAAGGTGAAAAAATAAATTCATGACCATGAAAAAGAAAAAACTAACCTTAGACCAAATGATTTTTGGCTTCGGCGTACCAGTAACTGAACAATCCAAGACTAAAGGCCGTCCAACAATGATTGAAGGACTCAGGTTGGTCATGTCGAGGAAACGAGGTGGTTCTATAATAATAATAATTTTTTAATATCTCAAAGGATTATTTGAATTTTATTTTTCCATAAGTAAGGCTAAAGAAAGGCTAAAAACTTTATTGGCACAAAATAACACTCGACCTAATACGGCGAGATCGAATCGCTTCTGCGCTTTGCCAGCTTCATTTTCAACAACACAAACGTAATCTCCTGAATCACTAAGACGAGCACTACGAATTTCAATTCGACGATCGTCAACCTTTAAATAATTCAGTTATTATGGAAAATATTCTTTGAAATTTCACTGTTAAAAAATTTTTATTGAAAAATAAAGAAAAATATGAAAAATAAAGAAAAATCCTAATAATTAATAAAATTAATATAATTAATTTTAATATAATTAATAATTAAATTAATAAAATCGAAGAAAATTTAACAAAATATTTTGCAAAATTCTGCAATTCTTTAATAAAATAGCGAAAATTTTAGCAGAAAACTCACTGTTACTGTGGGACTGATTTGTCCATTACCCACTAAATTTCCATCGATAAACCATTTCACAGTTATATTACCCGTACCGCTTATTATTTTACAAGTTAAAACAACAAAATCGCCCACCGTTACATCCATTTTTTGTGTTCCACGATCGAGTATCGGAGGTGCTTAAATAATTAAAAGCTAAAGCTTTTTGTCAACTTTCAAATAAATTTTAAAAAACAAAACTGTTGGCGCTATTCATTTTAATAAATTCATTTTATTTTATTTTATTTATTTATATTATTTTATTTATATTTATATTATTTTATTTATTTTATTTTATTTATATTATTTTATTTATATTATTAATTTAATAGAAAAAGAAATGATTTAAATGGCATATTTTTTTAAAAAATTATTTAATCTTCTGCTAAATGATTTCGTACCGGTAAGTTTGACAATAAAATCTCGCGATATCTGATCAACTTTATTGATAGCATAACAAGTATAACGTCCTTCAAAATCATCGCTGGCCTCATTAATCCATAAAGTTTGATTATTATTCATCAATGAAAGCCGATCGCCATAAGGAATGATTAATTGATCATTAAGTCTCCAAGTAATCTAAAAAATTCTCCTTTTCCAAAAAATATTGTGTGGAATTGAAATCGTTTCTTGGAAGATTTTCTAATTTATAAAAGATTTGCCGGCGATCTTATCTCATCCTTTTAAATTTATGTTAGTCTTATATTTCTCGAAATTTATTTCAATCCAACTGTGTTAAATCTTATTGGTTTTAGTGGATTTTAAGAAAATGTTGGAATTTATCAATATTTCCCATTTTAAATCCAAGAAAATTTATGAAATAAAGTAATTTCACGTTGATATTTTCATTTCTTTTCCGCTAATTTCATTAATCTTATTTTAACGAATCGATGAATTCATAACAAACGAATTATCGAATTTTGTCTCTCCTTAACTAACCACTTATTATGATTATTTTCAACGTATAAAAACTTATTAAACATCGAAAATAAATAATTGAACATAGCGAGAAAATTTAATAATATCCTTCTTTACAGTTGAAAAGCATACAAATGCTTAATGAAATAACTATGAAAGCAAAGGTAAAAATTATGAAATCCTATAAAATTATGATAAATCCTATAATTTAATAAGGATTGCTTTCAGTGTCCAATTAAATTCTCTCAATTTACAATATGATGGGCAGTGTAGCTGATTGCTGCATTGTTTAAGTTAGCATTTCGCGCCCTATGGTTTGGGCCTCTGCCTTTGGTAAGAAAAGAAAGTCATCGTTCTGATCAAATAGCGAAGCGAACTTGGCTACTAATGGTTGATCCTTCAAGAAGAAAGCATAATAGAGATATGGAAAAATTTGGGCTTCATCCATTTTTTGTTAGAATGTACTAATGTTCAGTGAAAACTATTGTCCTATATGCGAAACTGTTGCTTTCTCGGACAGAATTATAGGTTGAGGAGATCGTATTTCGGCGACTGAAATCCTCACCAGTAATTTTGTTTTTTCTCATTTGAAATGCAGAGAAATTTCGTCAATGAGATGGAAGAAAATCTGCGCAATTTATTGTGAATTGGCCGGCCAGACTCCCGAATAATTGCCTGCCCAAGCGGAATCATTTTTCAACGATTCTTAATATCGTTTTTTTCCCAAATAAACATGCAAAATATGTTCGCGACAAGTGGAAATCAATGAAATGAAAAGATTAAAAGCTTTTCTATAGAGTGAAAAAATGTGAGAAGATGAATGAAAAGGAACACTTGAGAATGAACGATTCATTCGAAAAATTACCCATTTCAGACCTTTCTTTAATCGCAAAAGACTTAATCGTTCAACCTTAAATACTTTCTTTAGGGACCATTTTTTAAATGGTAATGTTAAAATTTAGAAAAAATATTGGTGAGATTTTTTTCTTTTGGTGAAATCTGCACAGCCATTTTCGTTTTCTCATCTTGTAATTTTCACAGTTTTAAACGGAATTTACATAATTATAAAAATGCTCTTTCGTATTTCATAAACATTCTTACATAAATACGAAAAAATATATTTAAAAAAAAATTGGTTTAAAACAATCGACTTAATCGACTGAACTGATAAGAAAAAGGCCAATTTTTACGGATTTTTGAAATAATCAATTAATAGAAAAATCAACTAAAAAATAGTCTAACAAATTATCTTTCAAAAAATAATGAAAAAAACAACTATGCTATTGAATACAATTAATCGACTAATCAAAAGTTGAAGCTTACTTCTGCTTGCGGTATCGCTTCAACTTTACAGTTCACACCAAATGGTGCCCCAGGAATAATAGTTAACAGTGCTGGAGATGACGCTGTCTCATTTATCGTTGGCGATACTGCAAATTTATCAGCACAATCACCAAAAATATAGAATATAAATAAACAATAAAAACCATTATTATGAAAAATTTTAGATTCACGTTTAAATGCTAATGAAAAAAAAAACGAATTTTTTTCTTAATTCCACTAACCTAAAACCTTTAAATCATAATTTTTTCTTGCTTCTCCTGCTGAATTCTTCGCAATGCATGTGAAACGACCGCTATCCGACACTTGAACCGACAAAATATGAAGCTGACGACCACGTGAAGACACCTAAAAAGGAACTTTTTTTTCAATTTTTCTGGAGGTTCTTGTACTACAATTCAAACATTTTTCTTTTCTACCTACAGTTTTGAGAAACTTGAAATTAAAACCACTTAAACTACTTTTACAATTACTCATTCGGCCCATTATTATTATTATTAAAAATCAAAAGAATTTCAAAAAAATTCTTACTTGCAAATAATTATTGGAACCACGCACTCCATCGAAATCAATGTTTTGCCCATTTCGAAGCCATTCCATTTCCAGTGGCTCAGTACCACTTGCTTCACACAGTAAATCTTGCGGCTCATTTACGACTGCCTCAATCATTTCGGTAGAATTCCCAGCTATCACTGGACTTCCTGTAATTATTAAATGACTTTTTTATTGAAAAATGTTTCTGGCTGAGCTCATTCCGCTAGCTTGTCTGACCAGTCAAATTTTAGCAGATAGTCCCAGAACCTAAATTCTTTGTGAAAGAAGTCTTCTTCTTCTAAAAGTTCTCACCATTACTAGTTAAGCTGGCTACAAGAGTAAAGCCGCCAAGCTGTTCGGTCCAACGTTATCGCTTAGACATATGAGGTCAAAGGCAGATAACTTAATATCTTAAAGATAACTTGTGATAGAAGTACAAATAAAACACTGGTATCATAGGGATTTTTGAAAGAATTTAGATTTGTTTCTATCGTAAGTAGAATTCCAACACTCGCGCTCCGAAATGATGGCAATAACCCAAGTGAGCTATTCGTCTCTTCTCTAAGTTAACTTGATTCCTTACGATCAAAAATTTTTGAACGATTGATTGCATGATTTCATTTTTAACAAATTTTTGAGGTGATTGAAGGTTAAGAATTTGCTAACCAACAACTGTAAGATGAGTTTCCATATCAGCTAAGCCAATTTCATTAGTGGCAATACAAGTATACCTTCAATAACATATATTTATCAGTTTAATCGTATATATTAATTACATGTATAATTTTCTTTAGATATACTGTAAATAGTTTTCTAAGAGAGAGAACAGTTTTATTTTTATTTTTAACTATGCAGAAATGAA